GACATCCTAGCTTCACCAAACGAGGGTTATCCTTGCCGATCTTCTGCGCCAGGACCTCTTGGTCGCCTTCCTCATAATTGTCCACAGCAAGGTTGCGACCGACGTCGATAAGGCTACGGATAGAGCTGACAATGTTGTGAGATGAAGTCCAGAACTGAGGTAGCATGTCATAGCCATGTGCCGACTTCAGGATGCCGTCGTCCAGACAATCGGGGTCGAGACCATATACCTCTACGTTTGCTTGCCGGAATTCGAACGCTGTTTCCAGAGTGACAAGCATGACATCAGTGCCCTCACTGAGCCTCTGCATGATGGACGGGGTTTGCTTTAGGCCCTCCTTCATATAGAACGTCCGCAGGTAGAACCAACCCCAGGGTATGAGTGTGTGGAGACTGTCAACGTCCTTGACGAAGAACTGTCTAATCGTGTCGTTTTCGCCGAGCTCGGAATCAATGGCAGTCTTATAGCGTTCATTCAGAGCTCTGACAATATCGCCCATCAAAATCTTCTCGGGAAAAGCATCCGGATGAGCTTGTTGGTCATGCAGCTTATCCTGGTACCAGAGCCAAAGTTTGTGAGAAGCTGCGAGCTTCTCTGCATGCCACAAGAGCCGCCACCTTGTCTGAAAATCCACGGGAGGATACTCGGTTTGTAGCTGAGAGATCAGGGTTCGGAGAGCAAACAAGCGTTGCTGGAATTGGTCGTCCAAGTTAGAAACACCCTTCTCGAGATAGTCGTACGCTGAGCTTAAGATACCAGCGCTGATTGTAAGAGCAGCTTCGGCAGTCTCCTCTTCGGCGAATGAGAATCGTGACTTGACAGAAAAGTCTATGATGTTTGCGGGTATCGTACTGAAGAAGGTGGCTTGCTCGAGTTTGCTGCGTGCGGTAACCTTCACACGCTCCCTATCCTGATCGTCTGTCGTGGGGGGCAATGCGCCGATTTGTATAAGACCGAATTGTTGGACAAAGATTAGGGCTGTCGATTTCCTGTCCTTTCGTAATGAGGTCTCCAATGCGTTGCCCGCGAGTGTCACTTCTGGCCGGAAGTAAACGGTATCCTGGAAGGGCAGACTAGAACGTCCTGAATCTGCAAGCAGCTGTGCTTCAGGGCTTTCCTCTGGCTGAGCGAGGGATGCGATGAACACTGCTCCTGGAAACTGGACATAGGCTGTGTGTCCGGGCTGTGGCAGAAGAAGCGTTCCGGTAGGCTCCTTCGGTAACTGGTTCTGGTGAAAGTTGCGGACTGGTATCGCCCTGCTGATCGTACCAGCAATCCTTGACAGATCCACCTCAACAAGGAAGTATTCCAACGAATCCCGGCCAGATAGCGCCACCAAAGCCAAAAGATTTACAGCGTCCTGGCCCTGTTGCTGGTCCATAATGGCGAAATCCAGCACTTGCACGTCCTGCTGGTTCCGGACTTCTGGGACGGTGTCTGCTTGAACTGCCGAAAGGATCGCCTCGTGTACGTCTACGTCTCGTTGGTGGTTGTTTTGTCCTGACCAGCTCAAGTCCCAGGTCTGAAAGAGGCCGTTTCGTGTCGCCGAGATTACCTCCATATGGCCCTTAGACTGCGATGCCCGTGCCTTGACTGAGGCGATAGTCTTCCGGATCGATCCTCCGAGAAGGCCTTTGAAGCTGAAGAAGCTGCCTCCCGAGCCATTTGGTGCGCTCAAGACTGTTGTCGCAATGCTTGGTCTACCCTGAGAATCGCGTAAGGTCAGCTGGGCGAGTCTACCACTGCTGAAGACCAGGACATAGCCTGCGTGCTCCACATCGACCAGACCAGTTATGGTTTCTCCGGAATACAACTTGACAAATCCTTCTACTCCCTGCTGGCGCTGGGGATATAGGCTTCGGGCGTCTGCGCTGTCGATGTTCTCCCAGAAGCTAATCTTGCCTGTCGAAGGTGCGAGCGCGACGATACCGTAGTCGTTGGTGGGACCGTTACGAACGATTGCGCCCAGTGGAAGAGGTTCACCTTGGCGTAGGCCGAAGTTCAGGTTTAGAGAGACGACCTTTGTGGGGCCGTTGGGGGCGCTGTAGTCCCAGACAAGGGCGCGATCTGAGGTCAGGGCAAGTGCGAGGCCGGCGGACGGGAGGGCGGTTGCAAATATCGGGGCTAGTGATGTATGTTAGCAAGCGCGCATCGAGTTGGGCGACGTGAAGACATACTCGACGGGCGGAGGAGCGTTGACGGGAACCCGGGCAGTTTCTTGACGCTGTAGTTTGCGTTCTTGGTCTACAGTCTCGTGTTAGCAGTGAGTAGGTTGTACAGATGCGTATCTACGCACAAGGTATGTGCCGGTGTCCTCTTTGAGCGCGCGCTTTGGCGCTGTCTTCTTCTCGCGAACAACTAGAGGCATATCCACCAGGACGGCCGAGTCGCCTACGCTCTGCACAGCGTGACCATTCATCAGGGCACTGCCATTTCCGTTGGCACCGGCCGGGTCCTTGAACGTCTCGTTGTTGAGTTTGCTTCGCTTGCGGCTTCGTTGTTGTTGCTGAGATCCGTCCGAGTCGTTGCGCTGGCGCCGCCGTGTGCGCGCGCTCCGTATGCTCGCGAGCGAAGAAGCCTCTGGTGAAAACATGATGAAGGAAGTATTAGGGCTGGTTGGAAACGCGATAGAGCGCGCCGGTGATGGTGTTGGCTCTTCGCTGTGTTGTGGGTGACAACTAAGAATGCATCGAAGCTTTGATGATGGGCAGGGATCCGTGCCACGCTAGAGCCGGAGTTTAGCAACCTGGTTTCACCCCCAGGGCTGTCGAGTACCATTACGAACTCCCTGCCTACTGCACACTCTACGCCGTGTACTCACACAACAACAGAGGCTGCACACAGGAGCATCGGGGCAAGTGTTTACTGGTTTCTTCATTCAGTCTTGTACGCACATAGCCCATCCCAGCCGCTTTGAAGCAGAGCACCATCTTTCAACTACACATGTCAGGCGGAACAGTCATTCGATTTATGTTTTGTTTCGTATCTCGTTTATCATACTCATTACAGTTGTCCAAAAGCGCCGTCGTCATCAGCTTCCAACCATGAATGTTCTCCTGACCACTCATGGCTATACTAGAGAACGTAAAATACCTCCCAGAGAGACATGGTACATGTGCGAGCATATCGGCCTGGAAAGACGCTCATATCTGCTCTATCAAATTGCTCAAGGCGGGCAAGGTTTTCCCACAAGCCGGCCACACAGTCAACTTGGAGCCATGCCACTGCCCGTAGGCTCCACACTTGGCCTTTACATCTTCTTGTCGTGTTCCTCCTCAGCAATGCTGTTCTCGGTTGAGGTGGTGCTCTGCTTTTCGAGCTCTTCGCCGAGAGGACCGTGAATCTCCTCTTCAAAGACGGGCTCGGTCTCAATGGTCTCGAACTTGGTTTTGAAGTCCTTCATGTTGTGGGTGGACGAGTTGCTTCGACGACGGGCGTAGGCCATGTTGGGCCTGATGTCTTCGACCTCATCGCCGGCGGCGCCCCTGTGAAGGTGTGGTCAGTCACTTACTCTGAGATATAAGTGTCTTGATAGGCAGAGCTAGGTTGTTTTGCAAAACATGATGCTCTTGCTGGGCATCGAAAGGAAGCAAGTTGACTGTACTCACCAATTGCCCTTGCCACTACCACCCTTCTTCGTCTTGGTAGGGTCGGTGTCAGCATGGCCAGACTTGCCAAAGAACTTGGGAAGTCTCGTTTCACGCTCGGCAGTGCCATCAGCAATGCCGGCGTGGTCACGGTCAGTGAACTTGTGGGAGCGAGTCACTATGGAAGTCAGCATGATGTACGAACATGTTGATGTTGTCCCATAGTTCTCCTGCCGTCTTACGCCGATGAGCCATTGAGGTGGTTCCAGGTGTTACATGCTCAATACAACAAAGGCAGGTGCGTGAGACATGAGACAAAAGGCAGTACTTACTGTTTGGTATCTGTAGTGGATGGATTGAATGTGGGTTTGTTGTAATGGTGATGGAAGAGAGTCAACGTGAGTTGAAGTAGTCAGGAGCGGCGGGCTCGGAGCTACTGCGACTGTAAGAAGCTCAAGCGGGTCAGTACATGGTCTCGTGATGGGAGCTTTGACCCGATGGCGTCTTCTTGCGTGAAGCAACGCGGCCAGAATGCGTACCTTGCAGATCTGTGGACAAGTGACAGCAAGATGTTAGCAACGACGATGTTAGCAGGGACGATGGTTGTTGGTTTGTTTGTCAAAGGCTGGCGCAGTGCATCTCACGCGGCTTGGGCAAAGGCGGGGAAGCTGGGAGGAGCTCCTGCCTTTATATCGCGACCAAGATAGGACCCTGTAAGGATGCGCCTCTAGAAGGTTCGCCTTCAGCTGCCCAGCTCCGACTACTTCAATTGTGCTCATAGCTTCTACCTGTACAGAGTAACTTGACGCTTATTGTTATCAGTCGGATCTTCGGTTCCTGAGCTATGTAGGGAAGGAACGAGGGGAAAGGTACGTCACCGGTACCTGGATCTCGCCGGTCGGTGTCGCGTGGGCTGCAATCTTTTCGACACAGCAGCACAGCCATGCACAAACTTTTGGAGCTCTCAATTCCAAGATGCATATTGTGCCAACGACGCGTCAGTACTTTACTGTGTTTATTACGGCCTATTCATGGTTCCATGGCTTCACAGCAACAATGGTTACCCCGGATTCTGGATGTATGCTCCTCGCACGCTAATGCGCCCTGGGATCCACTCATACATATGCCGCCATTCCGCTTGACTCGGAATCACGTGTTAGGTCAGCTTGCAATCAGCCCTTCGTCGTATGACCAATCGCCGCGGATTTCTCCCTGATTTCGTCAGCAGCGCTTTCTCCGCCTCCGAGGCCGCAGGCCGTCTTCAGAAAAGTTTCCCGGGCGCGCCTCTCAACTACTACACTCCTTTCTTCTCGCAACCTTTCTCGCTCTTCTCGTAGTGACTCTGCCTTTACGCTCTGATTTTGCGACACCAACCTGCCCCTCCATCAACGTACAGTGCCACGATACCCCACCATGGCCCCGCGATGCCTTCTGATCGGCACGCCGTCGATTGCGGCGCACCCAGAGCGACTTGACCAAGTCTACGAAATCCACGACCGCAATTCGACCGACTTGCAAATGCTTGATCGCATCGCTGCTGGTCTGGCCAATCTCCCCGCCTCCACATACGATGTTGTCCTCCTCCTCGCCGACGCCGACGGTACCACGCGCGAAAGCCACAAACTATTGGCACGCGATGTCATGAACAAAGTTGTCAGCGCATTGAAGGTTGGAGGAGTACTCAAAAGTCAGGCGGGTCCATTCCAAGGCGCAGAAAAGACTGAGGCTATCCTGGCAGGGCTCACAGAGACCGCGAACGGCATGACCAAGTCCGAGCAAGAGGAGCCTGTGTCGATACCGCTGAAGCTTGGCAAGAAGGCAAACGGCACAAACGGCACAAACGGCACAAATGGTGCGAACCATACAGTCAACCCAGACGGTTCTGTCCAGCTCAACCTCAACCGCAAGCGCAACCAGCCTCAGGCTGAGCCCGTCAAGCCAGTCGGTGTAGGCTTTGTCGATTTCAGTGATGATCTTGACGACCCAATAATCACAGGCGAAGACGATGACCTAATCGACGAGGACGACCTCATTACAGAGGCAGATCTGGCACGTCCAGTCATTCAACGTGCGTCACTTCTTCCTTGCTACCTCGCGTCACTCTGCTAACATGATTCCAGCACTCGAATGCCAGCCCAAACCCGGCAAGCGACGACGCGCCTGCAAAGACTGTACCTGCGGTATGAAAGAGAAGATTGAAGCCGAAGATGCCGCTAAACGCTCCTCGGCCGATAGAGCGCTCAACTCCCTAAAGTTGGACGCCGATGACCTCGCCGAAGTGGACTTCACAGTGCAGGGAAAGGTTGGCAGTTGTGGAAACTGCGCACTGGGCGATGCGTTCAGGTGCGACGGATGCCCATACATTGGTCTCCCGGCGTTCAAGCCGGGTGAGGAGGTGCGATTGCTTAACAACGATATTCAGTTGTAGGGACTCAAGACATGGACCAAATTTGCATAACTCGGCGTACGGAGTAGGCGGACGATAACCTGGGGTAGACAACGTTGCTACATAGCTTTTTCTGGAGATACGGACGACAGAATAACGAAGCAAATGAATGAATCTTGTCATCATAGATCTTGAATAGAAATTTGACAACCCTTGCCCTGTGCATATTAGCACCTGCTTCTACTTCTACAGCTGAAGTAAATGCTGCTCTTCTGAGGTTTTCTCTTACGGCCCTTGAGATCACCACATATTCTTCTCCTCTCGAGAGCCGGGTTGTTCCTCAAAACGCCACAGTGTGCGGTCGCATTTTCGCCTCGTCTTCTGTCAGACTCGGCCAGGAAATCTAGCGGGTGACCTGTCCGAGATTATGACACAGTAAATTCAGCCTTTAGATGGTCCGCCAGCGATCGAAGGCTGGAGTCAAGCTATCACATCCTGTCTGGAGAACGGTCCCGGCATCGTGACCCTTCTCCGCTCCTCGTATGAATATTACTATTCTCGTCTTGACGATCTTTTTATCAGATCACGATAGTCGACATCGCAAGGGCTGGTTTCGAGTTTCCATATATTCGTTCAGTCTCCGAGCTCCAGTTCAAGCTTGAGTGCTGTCCGCCCAGGACCGTAGTAATCAGGACGGCATTCAGACTGTTGGAAGCCGCACAACTCATACAACGCTCTGGCATGCCCGCGACTCTCGTCCACCCATAAGAAGATCTTGTTGCAGCCTCCTTTTCCCATTTGACGGCGAAGGTAGTCAATCAAGGCCTTTCCGATGCCTCTTCCTCTTTCTTGCTCGATCACACAAAGTTTATGCAGCCACGCTAATCTCTTCATCCGTTGATAGACGAGATATGCAATAAGTTTATCAGTGTCATCTTCTTTGAAGACTAAGAGTAGTCCAGTGTTCTTTTTCTTAAGTTCCACGTCGTAGTTGAAGTGCTCGATTGCTGGGAAGACTTTTCTCTCAAGTTTGGCCACTTTGTCTGCGACTGTTGAGCGGGTCTTTGGCGGCAGGGTAGAGAAATCTTTGATCACAAAACCAGACGGGATATGCGCTGAGGAGTGTGAATCATTCATGGTGTCGCCGGTACAAGCACTCCAGTTGAGACGTGAGGTCAGGATTTGCCAGCGTTACACCGGTTTCATGGATGCCGCATCCAATTCACATCATGGTTCAATATCCACGAGCTCGGTAGGATTAGTGCTGGCAGAGACGTAAAAGATTGTCAGCTATTCCAAGGTTAGATCTTGTAGTGGGGGCCCACGTGCTAGCGCGACTGAATATGTTCTCCGCCACGTGCACCGACGCGTCGCTCCTGCAACACATACACACCTTCTGAAGGTCCCCACAATTCTCAAGCGGCCAGACGTCTGGACCAACATGATCCGCTCCCTAACAAGGCCGCCGCAACAACCACACGGGCGGTGAAAAGTCCAACTCAAATCCCTCAACCCTTCTGTTCCCTTGTCTTGAACTTTGTATCTCATGCCACGAGTCATGGCTGGCAAGAGGAAACGACCGTACTCAAACCTTGACTTTACGTTGAAGAAGGTGTTCAAGAAGGCAAGCTTCCGGTATGCCACTCACCTAATGAATGCTTGCTCGTACTAAGTTATCTTACGGACCGTTACAACGCGAGGTTGTCACGGCTACGTTAGAGGGCGAAGATGTCTTCCTTCAGGCAGCAACATCCTTCGGAAAGAGCTTGTGTTATCAGCTGCCAGCGGTAGTAGACTTTGGGAGTACGTTCAAACAAGATGAGAGATTTTAATGTTGCTAATGTTGCTAGTCACTGTCGTCATATCTCCACTGCTAGCACTGATGGTATGTTCCTCACTGTTCTATCGCAGTATAGAGTCTGACTAGCTATCAGAACAACCAGGTCGCCTCTCTGCGTAACGCCAACATCCGTGTTGAGACAATCAACAGCACTACACCACCCGCAGACAAAAAGAGGATCATATCAGACCTTCAATGTGGCCATCCTATGACCCGCTTGCTCTACGTAACACCTGAGTTCTGCCAAGGGGACAACTTCCGCAAGATCCTACGAGTTATTCACGCTCAAGGGGAATTAGCTCGTATCGCCGTCGACGAAGCCCATTGCGTTAGTGAATGGGGGCATGACTTTCGACCTTCATTTCAGCAATTATCATTCTTCAAGACGGAATTTCCCGATGTACCAGTCATATGTCTGACAGCAACGGCAACAGCGCGTGTTAGAGACGATATCATCACTACGCTCGCCTTGGACCCGAAGAAGCTAAGAATGTTTCGTATGAGCACCAGTAGACCGAACCTTCACTATGAAGTCCGCTTCAAATCTGACGAAGAAGACCACTATGATGATTTCGTCAAAATGCTTAAATCGATCCACGCGCGCCGTGCCGAGAACGCTGAGCGTGCCTCTCAACTAGCTTCACAGAACCAACGTTCAGACAATGTACCAGGCATAATCTACACTTTATTCCGCAAAGACTGCGAGTCTCTCGCCGCTCGACTCCGCTCAGACGGTATAGGCGCAAAGCCCTACCACGCAGGTCTCTCCGTTTCAGAACGTGCAGACGCACTTTCAGGCTGGGTAGCCAATAAAGCCGGCTACGATGTCGTCGTCGCCACAACAGCATTTGGTATGGGTATCGATAAAGAAAACGTGCGCTTTGTAGTCCACTGGCAAATCCCCAAGTCGTTTGAAGGCTTCTACCAAGAAGCCGGGCGTGCAGGACGAGACGGCAAAGCATCAATTTGCATTTTGTATTACGGCCGCGAAGATCGTGATCGCGCTGCGCATTCGCTGTCGAGGGATATTGCGAGACAGCCCAAACAAGGGGCGGGGTTACAGGCTCAGCAGCAACAGATGATGCATCGTGCGAAGAGCTTACAGGCATTGGTTGGCTATTGTGAGGCGACGGACAAGTGTCGACACAAACTTATCGCTGCGTACTTTGCCGACGAGGAGACGCCCGAGTGTGATTTTGCATGCGATTGGTGTAAGGATGCGGAGGCGTTGGTGAGACGGAAGGAAGGTGGGTTGGCAAGTGAGGAGTGGTGCAGTACACAAAGGGAGGCGGGGAGATATGATATCGACGAGTACGATTGAGGCGTTCTATCGTGACGGCACTGGATGGATACTGGCGGGTGTTCGGATTAGCATGAGTAGGTGCTAGGATACATGACCTGAGCTACGTCTGTGACTTATATATCTCATGGTTCATTGATCGTTATATCATCTACAGTCTGGCTTCCAGTTGCCGAAACATACATCAACGCCACTCCATGTATCCTCTTCTGGGGTATTCACCACCGATACCTCAACGCCACTTCATGAAATCTCATACCCATCAGCGTCTGACAGCACAACAGTCACTGTACTCTATCCGATGATCAAAGCCGCGCTAGGTACCATACCCGCTTCCTTAAGAGTCATGCCAAAGTCACTGCGATCGTACGTCTTCTTGGGGAAGTTGGTAGTAAACGTCGAGACGCTGATGCCATCCTGCTCCAGCGCATGTGCCACCTCGAAGAGCGTAGTCTCTACAGGGAAGTTCTTCATGACCCTCCCACCAGGTGTTTGCAGGGCCAATCGTGCCTCGGTGTACGCGCTCGCCGGCTTGCTGGTAGTGGGACCGGAGGATGTAGCCAGGGGAGCTTGTACAGGAGCGGCGGGGGGAGCCTGGCCGGCGCGCTTCGCCTTCTCGATCTCAGCTTTGCGTTTTCGCTCTTGCTTGTCTGCTTCAAGCTTGGCCAAAACCCGTTTCCTCGCATCCTCGTCTGCCTTCTTCTCTGCGCGCTTGGCAGCAGCTTCCTTTAAGCGCTCCTTCTTCTGCAACTCTTCTCGAATGTCCTGTGACTCCTTTGTGGCCTTCATGCGGATCTGCTCGTTTTTCTTGTGGTCTTCCTTGTCCTGCTCTGACTGCCTCGCACGCTTGGCCGCCAGCTTCTCGCGCAGCTCTTGTAATCGTTGCGCCTTCTGTTCCTCTGTGAGAGGAGCGATCTCTTCGGTGGATTCGGAGAACTGCTCGTGACCGGTCTTTTCACCGTGGAACTGGGCTTGGTTTACTGAGCGGAACTTCTTGCCGCACTCATCGCAAACGAGGGACTTGGCTTCCTCGCCAGGCTGCAGCGCGGGAGGCTCTTCTGAGGCATTGGCGGCGGTGGTAGCTTGCTCTTGCTTGATGTCATCGATGGACTTGTCTTGGTTGGTCTCGAGCCAGTCGATGGCAGGCTGGAGGCCACCAGTAGCTTTAACAGCGAGTTCTGCACGTTCGCGTGGAAAGCCCATGTCGATGAGGGTATCTAGATCTGAGGAGGCCATTTTGAATGCGGCGTAGGACGAGGGTCGAAGTTGTGAGAAGTTTCGGGGGTTCTTTTTCTTTTTGGAGTGTCTTGGTTTGGGTGCTTGGTTCGACAAGGTTGTAATTTATTAGCAAGTGGATGTGAGAAGTGATTGTAGTGGAGGAGGCTCCCGCTTTATATGGAATGTGGATGTAAGGCGGCGGAGGTAGCGGTGGAACCTTGGAGAAGATGAACCGTAGATCAGACGCGCCTAGTCTTAGCAATACAATGCTACTCTTGTAGAAGGGAGATCAGACAGTCACTGTCTCGTTGTTGAGATATTGTATGATTTCTAGACAGTGAGCGATGCTTGCAGGCTGTGATTGTTTGCGTAGGTGGACACTAGAGGCACCTCGGGATTCCAGAATCAAGAGGCGTCGCGGGACGTCATAGCTACTTGTCCTCACCCATCCGCCCTTCCTCCCTACCATCTGCAACCACCCCGTTTCACACCCGCCTCGATATTCACCGTTTGCGCACTCTATCCCCGGGATCTTAGCTCCTAGATTCACTTCACGCGCCCGCCCCCCCTTTTCAAGACTCCCGAGGTTCATCGCGACTCTACCCCGTACCGCGGATCTGATTACCAACCTTGGAAGACACAATCACCACCGCATACCTACAGCTTACGCGCGTCCACCATGTCCGTCGAGCTCGACCCCGTAGAGCTTGGTTTCAAGCGTAAGCTTCGCATGCAGCATTGGGGCCACAAGGATACTAATCTGGCCAGGACCCTTCCAGCACGAGGTGTCGCAGACCCTCCGCTTGAAGAACCCGCACTCTGACCCGATTGCCTTCAAGGTAAGCAGGCTTCTCGATCGATTGCTGGATTAGACTGTGGAATTTGGACTAGCAGCTGACACATGGAAGGTGAAAACCACGGCCCCCAAGCAGTACGACGCCCGCGACACCTCTCCTCCACAACGGCTAATAACGGGTGCTTTAGATACTGCGTGAGACCGAACAGCGGACGCATCGAGCCTGGCAAGGATGTCGAAGTTCAGAGTATGCATGCCCTCCATGCGCGCATCCCTTGGAAGACTGCAGCAAACTAACGCATGCGCCTAGTTCTCCTCCAAGCCATGAAGGAGGACCCACCGCCAGATGCGAAGTGCCGCGACAAGTTCCTGGTGCAATCTGTACTCGTCACCGCAGACAAGGAGTTCACCAACGTTGGATCTCTGGTATGTTCTGGACCAACAGCAACAGGTCGATGCATATTAACAACTGCTTGCAGTGGTCGCACATTGAGCAAACCGCCAAGTCTTCCATTCAAGAGAAAAAGATCAGGGTTCTCTTCCTCGCTCCCGACGATGCCTCCTCCAGCGCAACTCCCGCAAGAACCAACGGTGTTAGCCGCGATTCGATGCTCTCTTCTCCGTCACCCGAGGCCGTGACTCCCCAGCGTGGCGTATCAGACGCTTCGGGGCCTGTCTCCGTTCCCCAGGACCGCCCGTCAGACAGCAAGAACTTGGGAGAGATTAGGAACGAGGCATACAACCCAGCAACGGGCGGCAACATGCAGTCGAGCTTCAGCTCTGCCGCTGGGACCGTCTCTAATGCTCTACCATCCTCGAGCGATGTCGAGGCTCAGCTTGCTGAAGCCAAGGCGCAGATTGCGCGATTGACACAGCAAGTTAGCGAGGCGACCGGTCTCCGCCAGCGAAAGACAGGATCCGCGCAGGACTCGAAGCAAGAAACATCGTCCTCGCTAAGCACACAGCAAGCTCCCGCAGGCGGTGTGTCTGTCCAGATCACAGCCCTTCTGTGCCTCATCAGCTTCCTGATTGCTTACTTCCTCTTCTAAGCGCCTTCCCATAACACATTCTATGAGAGTACCAGTAAAATCACCGTGCGCCGTTTGCGACCCCGGATCTACAATGCACAGAGACAGTGGAGAGCCAGACGGCATCTTTCGACACGCGAAGACGAAGAAATAGGGCGGTAGTATGGCGCTGGACGAAAGGATGGATAGGTGCATTTCTTTCCCATTTGGGGTATTTCTTGTTTGGACAAGGGTCTGTTGTTGGTTACGCATACGGAGTAGCAGCTGCTTGGGAAGCATGAACACATTGGTGTGGAAAGTATCCATGTATCAACAGCTACATAGTTCGGAGCTGCAAAGTTTTGAAATTGTTAAACACACAGATAATGTCTACGTATATTTCACCTTGCACCCTGACCGTGTCGCGTGGTGACTCTCTAGTTACGGCGATGTTCGCAAGTGCACTGGCCAATAGGAAGATGCGACTCCTCCATGGCAGTTGTGGGGTTGCGTTTGAGCATGCACAAAACGAGTGCGAACAAACTTGTGGAGTCACGGACTGCCCACGGTTCCCAACGTCATATCCTTACAAGTACAAGATAGTGGATACTGCCAATCCCGCGGTCTGAACGCGCTCGGGGTTGGCAGTGAAAATGTGGGGCACAAGCTGGCCTGCGGCGACTTCGGGCGGGCGATATGACTCTATAACAATTTCTAGCCACGATAAAGGCTGTCCCTGATCTCCCCTCTTCGCTCTGACATTGCCTTCCCTCCCCTTCCAAACCAATCCAGCAGTAAAGATGTGTGGTATCTTCGCCTGCTACAGGTATGCTACACCCGTCCTGCGCCCGCAATTGCCCCTGCAGACGTTGCATTGCTTCAACACCAGGTGTTTGCGACTATGTTGATACATGACTAACTTCCCCATAGGCACCCCGATGTGCAAAAGTTCAAGCCGACTGCCCTGAAAATGGGCAAGGCGTAAGTCTACCCCCCATAAACTGTGAGAGTTTCCAATTGACTAATTGCGCGCAGTGTCCGGTGTGTAAATCCGCCTAAACCTTCAGTTAGCCAAATTCACCACAAGGACTTCTATGCTGACTGATCGAAAAGCCACCGAGGTCCAGATTGGTGTAAGCATCATGATTACTCTCTGTGCGATTAAATACATGGTGACTGACACTTTGCAGCTGGTAACTGGGTTGCGAACGACACCAGTGAGTGACTGTAAGAGCCTCTATGCATATACAGTACTAAATACGAGCAGTTCTGGTACACGAGCGCTTGAGCATTGTCGGCGTTGGTAAGGAGTCACACAGAAATCGTTGCTTTTGACGGAAGCTTACGCGGATTAGACTCTGGCGCTCAGCCGCTCGTCAACGATGAGGGAACCGTCTCTCTGGCTGTCAACGGCGAGATCTACAACCACCGAATTCTCCGCAAGTCCCTCAAGAACCCATACAACTTCAAGACACACTCAGATTGCGAGGTTATCATTCCTCTGGTAAGACCTGGAATATGTTTTACGGTGGAGAGAGGCTGATTGGCGGCAGTATCTTGAACATGACATCGACGCTCCCCGAAAACTCGACGGCATGTTCTCATGGGTCCTTCACGACAAGGCTCAAGATCGTGTGATCGCAGCACGCGACCCCATTGGAATCACTACCTTCTACATGGGTCGATCGAGCACTACACCAGGCGCCGTGTTCTTCGCTTCTGAGCTGAAGTGCTTACATCCCGTCTGCGACAACATCATCTCCTTCCCTCCCGGTCATGTCTACGACTCGAAGACAGACTCGCTCACACGATACTACGACCCCAAGTGGCTCGTCGAGCCCGAGAACATTCCTACAAAACCTGTAGACTACAAGGAGCTGAGGCAATCATTGGAGCGATCGGTGCGGAAACGCATGATGGCGGAGGTTCCCTTTGGTGTACTTCTCTCTGGTGGTCTTGACTCAAGTTTGGTGGCTTCGATCGCTCAGCGGGAAACTCTGCGGTTGAACGAGGCGACAAGAAAGAAGGCTGCTGCATCGACTGGCAACGCCAGCGAACAGCAGAACCAACTTGTCGGTATCGATGACTCCAACGAGCTTCAGACAGATCTGCTCCTAGGACAGCTCAACTCCTTCTCTATCGGCTTGCCCAACTCTCCCGATGGTATCGCTGCGCAGGAAGTGGCCAACTTCCTCGGAACCAAGCACCACACATTCACCTTCACTATCGAAGACGGACTCAACGCACTTACAGATGTCATCTTCCACCTTGAGACTTTCGATGTAACAACTATCCGCGCCTCAACACCCATGTTCCTTCTCAGCAGAAAGATCAAGGCTATGGGAGTCAAGATGGTTCTTTCAGGAGAAGGCAGTGACGAAATCTTTGGTGGATACCTCTACTTCCACAACGCGCCTGACAAGGCTGCTTTCCACCAAGAATGTATCCGCCGTGTCAAGAACCTTCATCTCGCAGACTGTCTTCGCGCCAACAAGTCAACATCTGCTTGGGGTGTTGAGGCGCGTGTGCCCTTCCTCGACAAGGACTTCCTTAACACGGCAATGAACATCGATCCTCAGGATAAGATTATCGATCGCGAAGCCGGCCGTATTGAAAAGTACATCCTACGCAAAGCTTTCGACACAACCGACGAGCCAGAGACGCAGCCTTACCTTCCCGAGAAGATCCTCTGGAGACAAAAGGAGCAGTTCTCTGACGGTGTAGGCTACGGATGGATCGATGCGCTCAAGGACAACGCCGAGCTACACGTCACCGACGAGATGATGAAGAACCCAAAGAAGGAGTGGGGTAACGACATCCCCGATACTAAGGAGGCATACTGGTACAGATGCATGTTTGACGAGCACTTCCCCAGCTACTGTGCCGATACTGTTATGCGATGGACACCTACCTGGAGCAACCAGACGGATCCTTCTGGACGGTGAGTTTCCCTCTTCATGTTGTGCTAGATGCAAGACTAACATATCACAGTGCCATCGGTGTTCACGAGCAAAAGTACAGCCATGCTAAGTAGACAGTTCTTTCGGCATTATGGAATGGGGCTTATATGGTAGAAGCTATGGATCTTATTTCATGTCTCTTCTGGCGCTTATAGACTGCTTAGGGGTGAGATATACCCCATGGGGAGTCTGTCAAGGTTCTGTCTTCAGCACATCAATGTATCATTCTGCATGAACTTTATGATGCGCAACGTCGTGACGACTAACTATGGGATGTAATTAATCCTTTAAATTGGTGAACAAAATCTAGCTTCATGATACAACATTACCTCGCCAATGGCGCTCAAACACAGGTCTCTTTTTTTTGTACTGGGTATCCAAGACTGATGATGCAAGTACGTACACACACACAAACTTTTTAGCAGATCATACCGTCATCCAGCGGTAGATACAACAACGCAAACTGTAAGACACGAATGATCGTTTATGGACGCAGCAGAACGCATCAAGCCTCAAGGGCAGAAGATGCCTCGCCGTTACCGAAAACGCGGAATTGGACGAAGATAGTCACATCTTCGACCATTGTACCTAGAGAGCCGATGAGCCAAGGGAGGTTGGTGAGTATGTAGTCCTTTTCCTGCGAATGGAAGATAATCTGTGTGATGTTAGCCTGGTATTTCTGGCTGTGAGTAACAAGGTGGGTGGACTTACTCCTGCGCCATAGGTAGCATTGCCCAGCAAACTCAACATGAAGAAGAGCAGCGACAAGCCTTCGCAAGACCTCTCCCGCTGGTTCTTGATGATTTGAGGGATGCGCGCCCCAAGATAAGCCACTGCGCTCGCGTATCCCAAGATCATTGCGCCGACCGGGTTGTCCGAGGCATCCTCGGTGTTGTGCTGGGGTTGCGGGACCCAAACACCAGTCTTCCACGCGATAGCCCATCCCGCTGCGCCGACAACACAGACTCCCACGATGCTCAACGCGTTCTTTACCCACTCGCTGGCAGCGTCACCGACATCGGGGATTGTAGGGAGAGAGCTTGCGCGGCGCCTGCGGCTCGCAGCAGAATCGCGCCTGTGACTGCCAGGCAAGCCAATGTTGCTGCTGTCGCGGCGACCGAGCAAAGGCGCCTCGATGCTATTGGTAGACTGCGTGGAAGTCTTGCGATCGCCACGGCGCGAGTTTTTCATGTTGTAGTAGACGCATTGCGAGATGAGGACGAGGTCTGCGAAGCAGAAGTAGACGGCGAGGGCGATGACGGTAGGGACGAGACCGGCCCAGAGAGCCCCCGCGAGGTTCGTCACGTCGCCAATGAACCAGACGGCGAGGAAGGCGAGGGAGATGCCATCTGCAGAGCCAGATTTGTAGTTTTCAATTAGTTGTGGGACCTGCAGGTGGTGGTTAGATTAAAGTACGGTGATGTATGGTGTCGCGTGCCCGAAGATCTAGTTGCGGCTCCATGAATAGCACAGGCAGTATCAGAGATACATGGCGAAAGCCACCCATGTTTAGGGAGATGAGGACAACGGGGTTGTATCAATTGTTACTCACCAACAGGAAGATCCATGAAGCTAACGAGATTGAGCCGAAGACACCCGACAGCGCCTCGTGAGTAGTCAGCGGCAGAATGTGATGAGACATGACTGCAGCGAGCATGATGCGTTACGGTATTTGCCCACACAGCGCGTCGTGCGACCTATACAAGTAGACGCAATAATAGTTTTCTTCTGTTACAAGGGCATGCAGGAAATCGTGCAGCAAGGCTTGACGATATGACGCAGGTCCAGACGGAGGGAATGCCGGAAGCAGACCAGTCCAGCCGAGGTAGCCTCTTAGGGAGTGGAGACGGGAACCGAAGTAGCAGATTGGAAAGATTGTTGACGAATGGTATTTGGTGATTTTGTAAGGCACCATGCGACCAGGCTGAAGACGAGGGAAGGGTCAAAAAGCAGCAGTGTGGGCTAGTAGTGCTGTAGTACGGAATTCGGGGTCATGTATGCCTCTGGCAAATTGCTGGCGTTTCTGTTGAGGATGCACATTTTTCATTCGGGGTTTTCCTGGACTGCCTAGACTTTGCGATGCGCACTGCCATGGTTTGTTTTAAAACCCGAGGCGCGCCCGCGAGGCTTTCCATGAAGAATGTTTGTACTCGAACAATTCGCTGTCGACATGTTTACGGAATGCGCTTGGCTTGCACTGTACGGTGTTGAAGTCATGTGAAGCGTGGCACAAGACTGAAGGCGGTGGCTTATACAAGGACACGCAACACTGCTATTCACGCGCCAAAGCCATGGAGCCACTGCATGCTCAGACTACTCACCGTCAACATGATTGATTATGCAAAGTCTTCGAAGGGGAAATGACTCGTCTGTTGCTGGCCGTTTTAGAGGGTCCGTCTGTCAAAGCTCTAGAACCCTTGTGGGCGGCTGAGTGCGCTGCAGGGCGTCGGGTCCGGCTTAGTGCGCTCTCCGGACCTAAATTTGGGTGTAGACGTGATCACTCGTCGCTCCACTTTCTCCTCGTCACCTTAGCAAGCACATCCACCGGCTTCCGGTTCGACACTCGCTCAGTCTTCTATTGTCACTTCACCTTCGTGCCCTCGTTTATTCGCTTGATATATACATACACATAACTATAGGAGCCTACGCGCCTTTCGCCCGTATCGCCCCCCCTTAATACAACTAATCGCCTGTTCGTGAAACGCGCGTCAGCTCCAGAGTAAAAACCAGTTACCACTCTCTGCCTGTTTCCTTTAACAACCCGCCCAACATGTTGCCCAAGGCCTGGCTGTCGGTTTTTGTCCTCACTGTCGCATCGTCGGCCTTTACGCTGGAGGATCTTCACATGGACGGCATCAATCAGTACATCCACCAGGGCAAGAGGCAAGACGCCGAAGGCACCGGCGCCTCTTCAGCGTCTGCCGCTGCCGCAACGTCATCAGCTGCACCGCCAGCTTCCTCCGCCGCCCCTCCTGCTACATCGTCAGCCGCGCCAGCGACGTCAGCGACTCCTCAGCCAGAACCTTCAACCACGAACAATCCAGCACCTTCCGACGACCCCACATCTGACGCTCCTCCGGCTTCGACTCCTGCAGCAACACCAACTACCGATGGCGGTAACAACAACAGCAACAATAACAACGACAACACCCGAACGACTGCAGAAGGCACAAGTGCTACCGGTGGTGGCGGGAGCGCTGGTAACTCAGCAACCCCTACCCGGGAGGCCAGCTCTTCCGTAAGGACAACAGCGGTTGTCAGGACTACACCTCTTGTTTCAACTTCCCTTTCAGAGTACACCAGGACCGTCACCTCGACTCTCGAGAATGGCCAAGTAACCACTGCAACCTCGACAGGCACCAGCACTTCCCTTGCCACCACTGGGCAAGCCGTTGTCACAGACCCACCTACTGCACAGGCAGGCGACAGCGACAACGGCGGTGGCATCAGCGATTCCAACAAGAAGGTCATTGGAGGCGTTGTCGGTGGTGTAGGCGGTGCCCTCCTCCTCGGTGGCATTGCTCTCGTCTTCTGGCGCATGAAGAAGCGCCAAGCGCGTGTCCACGAAGACGACGATGACCTCATGGCCGGCACTGGCTCAGCCCTTGGTGACAAACCCCAGAACGGCACTGGATCGTCGCCCTTCCAGTCGAACCTCGAGCAATACCACAACCCTGGAGGACGCCCCAATGCGGCTGCTAACTTCTAGGCGAAGCGCAGCCCGCAAAAAGTACACAGGCCTGTTGCGAGGGTCCGTTATGATACCAACGACTATCTGCGGAATTTGTCTGAGCTGGAAACGATTTTGAGAGACGAGAGCAATACGGAGCTTGTACATACGGCGCAAACACAGTTATAACAGTCGGATCTGGAGGTGGTGCTTTTATTGTTGAATATGGTTTTGCGTGAGTATAGTGCATCACAGGTGCTGATTCGCGATGCAGATTAGTGTATACCGTCGCATCGTGGTCAGTCTGTACAAGATTGCACACATGTAAATTAGACGTATACCATCAATTCAGGAAGAGACAGCAGGCCACTTTCGTCCAAGCTTTTTTTTCTTCGTCCTGTCAGTGTCGTCGCACTTGCTTCGTTCACCTGTTTAACTTGTTGTAATCGAGCGTGGCATGTCTTTCTTGCCTTCTTTTGTTGTTTTAGCATAGTCATACCCCCCATAGCGAATTCGATCAGATTGTCAAAATCATTCATCTATTACATCATTACTCTCATGCGCTCCTTTATTCTCATACAGGGTGTTGTTCTTCCCTTCGAATGTCTACGTGTGCGCATGTCATGCGTGTCCAGGGGTTTGGCCATGGTCGTGTTTCAGCACTGTCGCAGCAGCCACCACGATGCTTCCTAAACAAGCTTTGTGACCGCTGGGCCCCAAACTCGTTTGGCATGAGAAATGCATGTTCGGCGCTTCGGAGATGGAGGGGTTTGGCGTTACTTAGATGTAGTTGGCCCCAGTGGGTGTTTTGAGGCTGGGATTTGATCTTTTACTCTGGGTTTCTCCGCGAACACTGTTCGATATCTACACTCATTTGGCTGCAATTAGTTCTTTGTATATACAGGCAGTGCCGATATACTCTAATAGGATATCTACCGATTCTGGAATTAAGGAGGATTTACGTACGACATTTTTCACGCCTAGCGATAATCAGTACCGTCCTCTCTCACGCACAGCAACATCTTTAAATACCGACATTTTCGAGTATCGGCAAGAATCATTACCGATAACTTTTACGCCCGGCTATATCATTGAGCACCGCCATCGTTCCGTCTAGGCAGGATTCATCAACGGCGAGATTCACGTCCGGCAGTCTTCTCGACGGACTGGAACCACGCCCGGCACATCATCCTCAAGCATACTCCTCAACTGGGAACGATTAGTACGCAATCATGTTTCTCCCCACAGCACTCCTTGCTCTGATCCACCTCGCACTCCCCGCCCTTTCCCACGCATCTCCACAACCCGCTCTCATCTCCTCAGACTGGGAAATGTCCTTGGTACCCCGCCATCAACTCTTCCTTCGTCAACTGTCCAACTTGCAGACCTTCGACGGCAACCTTGGTGGGACGCGTGCATCCGCCATCACAAATTCTGGAGACAAAGAACGTCCGTTCCAAGTCGACGGGGATACATTTACCAGTTTCGATACTGCGGCACAGAGAAGTTGCGATAATCAATTTCAAGGGTGTAGTGATACTGCAAACAAGAGTGGAGGAGGCGGCGACAAGGGGAAGAAGGGGAAGAAGAGGCAGGATGGCAGCGGTCTGAGCGTGAACGACTGTGACGAGCAGAAAAGTAAGTCGAGCTTTTTCTTCCGTTTCTAAGATTTGGAGGGAAGTCGACTGCGAAGAGCGCACGCATAGCTAACATTCTTGATAGATAAGTGTAATGACGCGCAGAAGAACGCGCAAGTCAAGGACTTTAATAGTGCAGTTGCGAGTACAAATATCGGGCCTGATCCGGACTTCCCAGACTTTGATCTCATCTGCGAAGGCTAGCCAAGGAAAAGAGATGGGTCATTTCGTAGTATATAGGGACCAAGTTTGGTACTGGCTTTAGGAAGATGGAGGCTTATGCTGCATTAAGCGCATGAGTGTTAGGAATATGATAACGATATGATATCCCCAGAAGAATAAGACGTCTTTTCCTTGACACAACAAACTTGTATTTGAACTTGAAGTTTGTAGTTTCAGTGACCACGTCACGTGGATACGCTCCGCGCTAAATCAAGACATGTCTACTGCGACTTTTTTCCCATCTTTCCACCCACGAATCTTCTCCGCCAACACATCCTCACACGATGAAGTCCAGGATATGATAATATGACTACATTTGTTCGGTCTTCACCGCTCATCTTGCATACGTCTATCAACGCATCACGGTTTACGATGCCTAGTACGCTTTTTTCTATCTCTGTACGCCTAAGTCAATGGAATACCTTTCCGGCGACCATCTGAATTGCTCAATCCCTGGAGGGCCGACAAAAGGCTGTCAGTGCCAATGGCACCAAAATCCCGCGCTATAACAGCGAAAGCGCTGCAATCACTACTCGTACATATCGGCGCACCGTCATCAGGAACAAAGGCAGTACTCCAAGAGCGTTTCCAACGCGTTATCGGAAAGCCTCTACTTCCCAACAGCCAACCACCATGGAGAACATCAGAGTCCGCAAGCAGGAAATTTCGCATCATGAGCATCGATATGGGAATCAAGAATCTGGCATTCTGTGAGGCAGAAGTTTCCTATCCGTTCACGAACAGCCTAGATGCGGGAATGGAGATTCTTAGATGGGAGAAGATCAATCTTACCGAAGCCACACATGATGAAATTCACGAACGATCAGAAGTTACAACCACAGAGCAAAATACGGCGGGTGCTGATGAAGAGTCAGACCCATACTCTGTGGATGCTTTGTCTAAGACAGCGTATGGATTGCTCAGGAACACCATTATGACAGGGTCACCAGATATCATCTTGATAGAAAAGCAGAGGTGGAGATCTGGCGGTAGCAGTGCAGTGCAGCAGTGGACTCTCCGCGTCAACACCTTAGAAGGCATGTTGTGGGCGGTACTGCAAACTATGAACGCAGAGCGGCTGTATGGGGGAGCTGAAGCATTAGGTACAGGAAACGTGTACGAGGTCTTCAGTGCAGATCCAAAACGTGTGGGACAATACTGGCTCACTCGGGCGACTAGGAACTCTCCGGAAATCGACGAGAAGACCGATAGATCCACGGACGATATAGAAGCGGGAAGCGGAGAGGAAGGAGACAAGTCAGTTGCAAAAAAGAAGCCTAGTCGAACCAAGGCAGAGAAACAAGCCAAGATCGCTCTCCTTCGCTCATGGCTCACTTCAACACCTGCTTCCACAGCATCTGTAACACGCGATTCGATACCAAGCATAATGTTCAGCATAACGCCAGGCGCCGAAGCTACCCGTGAAGCGCTGTGCGGACCACTAGAGTCAAGAAAGCCTAAGAAAGCTAAAAGAGTCTCAACAGACACACTTCCCACACAAGGTCAACCCAAGAAGCTGGATGATATCACAGACTGTTTCTTACAGGCTGCTGCATGGGTTAGTTGGGAGTCAAACCGCCTACAGCTTCAGGAGGTGTGGAAGCGGAAGAATGGTAGCAATGAAACCAGGTTAGGACTGACGGATGAGGTCTTGTTAGAGATGGTTCAGAAGATAGGGGAGTCTTGATACCAGTTGCTTGACCTTCCAATCAACCGCGAGCTCATAGCGACTAGACTAAACAGACTAGAATACCTATAATGCGTGCGGACTCGGCTGATAATTCGCCGAGCACCAGGACATGCTGTATCGTGATGCTAGAAGCGAATGACAGGATATGCGTAATGGTTGTCTTGAAGCTCAAGGAATTCTACCAGTCTTAGAACCATGTCTGCCCACCCCACTTGGCGTGTGACGTGGCAGCCTTCACATAGAGGCTTCACTCGGCCCAACTTGATTACCCTCGTGCTTCCAAACACGGTCAAATTAGTATATTAATTATTGCGTTTGAGAAATTTGCCAGAAGTCTCTATTTCCGTTCAACGGTCTCGGTGGCGCAATGGTAGCGCGTTGGACTTCTACTAACTGTATCCGGTTAATCCAAAGGCTGCGGGTTCGAGCCCCGCCCGAGATGCTTTTTTGCCTTTTTTTGCATCCTGCTCTCAATATGTTCTTGTGTGCGAAGTGATGGAGTGGACTGGTGAGGTTTGCCAGACATGAGTTTTGCTTAGTGGGGAGTCATAGAACATCAAAGCTTCGCAGGAGCCCTTCATCTATCACACTTCGCAAGACATTCTGACTTGAAATAGAGGTTGTTGTTGTTGTTGCTAGGATCGTTTATGCGCCGTGACACCAATAGCGCCATTTACATGCTCACTTTTACACATCCAAACTTATTGCACATCACTCAGTCAGTTAGCTCGGCACTCCGAGTGACTTCCTCCTTCATCTCCCTACCCTTCCTGGCCAGAAGGTTGAGTGCGCTACCAGCAAGCACAAAGCCGCACTGATCTTGCGACAGAGTGTGCTTGGTCCTGACAACCTTCTCGCTACCATCCTTCTTCTTGAGGACAAGGTCAACCTCGCCCTTACCACCGCTCTTCAGTACGTCCAACAATCCCCTTGTGGCGACTTCGTCGCAAGCTTCGAACGCATCGTAGTCGGCTTCGTTGGCGAAAGTCAGAGGGACGATACCCTGCTTCTTGAGGTTGGTCTCGTGGATACGGGCGAAGGATTTGGCGAGGATGACACGACCACCAAGGTACCGGGGTTGCAAGGCAGCATGTTCACGTGCAGAGCCTTCACCGTAGTTGTGCTCTGCTACGACGAGCCATTCAATGCCCTGATCGCGCCACCTCTTTGCTAATTCTGGGATCCCTGATGTTTTGCCGTCTAAGTCGTAGGCGACGTTGACCTCATCTGTCTGCGCGTTGACAGCACCGATAAGTGTGTTCTCAGAGATGTTGGGCAGATGGCCCTTGTACTTGAGCCATGGTCCAGCAGCCGAAATGGTGTCTGTTGTGCATTGTCCCTTGACCTTGTACAGTACCTTTAGGCCTGTGAAGTCGGAGTCAGGGAATGCTGGGAACGGATCCAGGAGCGCCAGGCGGGTAGAGGTGGGTGAGACAATAACATCTACGCTAGGGTCTGGGACACCCGGTGTAGGCATGAAGTCAGGATTACCGTCTGCGAAACCGGCAGAGGGGAGGTCAGAGCCCTTTGGTGGCGTGAACTTGAAAGGCTTACCGTCTGGCGTCGGTATAGAATCAGTCATTGGGTTGAAGGTTGTGGAGCCAGAGTACGACATAGCGGTGATGAGCTCAGGAGAAGCCAGAAAGTTCATTGTTGCTCGGTTGCCGTCATTACGACCGGGGAAGTTGCGGTTGTATGAGGTCAGGATAGCGTTGGATTCGCCGTTCTTTACGTCGTCGGTACGCTTCCATTGTCCAATGCAAGGACGTTAAGGTTGTTAGCACTGGAAGTCCATCGAGGTATATTGACAAACTTACCCGCAAGCGTTCGCCAGCACAGTACCTCCGGCTTCAGTGAACGTCTGGAGGGTTTCATCCCGTTCTAACGTTGCACGGATTTGTTCGCTGCCAGGGGTGATGAAGAAATCCGCCTTGGGCTTAAGGCCAGCTGCCAATGCCTGCTTCACAATCTCTTCTGATCGGGTCATGTCCTGGTAAGAGCTGTTCGTGCAGCTACCAATGAGACCAGCGCCGAAGGTTTGTGGCCACCCCTTCTCTTCCACTACTGACTTGAACTTCGAAAGAGGTGTTGATAGATCAGGAGTAAATGGTCCGTTGATGTGTGGTTCAAGTTCTGAGAGGTTAATCTCAATAACCTTGTCGTAAGCGGCTTCCGCATCGGGACGGAGGAGGTTCTGCTGCATTGGTGAATTGGCAATTTTTTGAGCAGCCTCAGCGATCGATCCTCGATGTGTGGCTTGGAGATAGGGGATGTGTGCAGGAGAGAAGGGGAAGAGCGAGGTAGTTGCGCCGACTTCAGCACCCATGTTGCTATAATGTGTTAGAACTTACGATGCGCGTGGAGCTTATATACGAGCCTTACCAAATAGTCGCCATACCAGTGCAGCTCAAAGACTGCACACCAGGTCCGAAGTACTCAATGATGAAACCAGTGCCACCCTAAGCATACGTTAGCCTGGAATATCTCGCTTTACTCAAAACCACATACCCGGACGGTAAGCTCGCCAGCCAACTTCAAGATTACGTCCTTCGGGGAAGCCCATCCGCTGAGTTCTCCAGTGAGCTTCACACCCAGAATTTTGGGTGCCTTGAGCTCCCATGGCGCATCCACTAGGGCGTCCACTGCGTCCGCACCACCGACACCGATTGTGATTGATCCCAACCCTCCAGCATTCGGGGAGTGGCTGTCTGTGCCCAAGATCATCAAGCCAGGGGCACTGTAGTTCTCCAGCACAGACTGATGGATGATACCAGCGCCTGGTGGCCAGAATTCGATTCCGTATTTCTTCGCTGCCGACTCGAGGAAATCGAAGACCTCCTTGTTACCCGCAATCGATTGTGGAAGATCGGTGTCAGCGCCTTTTTCTCCCTGTGAAATCTAATCAGCGAGATGCTCATGGTATATCCTGTACGGCCTCGAGGGTGCTACTGACTACTATCATGTGGTCGCCTTATATATTTGGTCAGTATGTGACTACACGATGTTTCATTCGCAAAGGCTACTCACAATGTATACTAGCAGGGACCGCCGTGCTCGGCAGCCCGCAGCTCATGAACTGCAACAAAGCCATCTGGGCACTGGCATCCTGCATAGCAACGCGGTCCGGCTTCAATTTCAAGTTTGCCTGACCTCTGATGTTCCTGCCACCATTTGTGTTGTTCATAAGCGACTCCTCTGGACTCTCAAGATGCGAGTAGAGAATCTTCTCGGCCAAAGTCAATTGTCGTGAAGATCCCAGTACGCGCCGTACTTGTTCAAGGCGAGAGAGCAACTTGGCGTAGGGTGGGGTGCGGGAGGCGAGGTCGACATTACGGGCAGTGGGCGGGTCGTGGCTCGTGGCTAGACATCTTCGCGCTTGGAAGGACGATTGGCGCAGAGAGGAGAGTAGGTGAGGCTTTGGAAATCTGTCAGCGTTCTGTGCCACTTGGACGTCCAGTGAAGAAATGCGACGGCGATGACTACAAAAGTCGCATCGATTTTCAAGGCTGCTTGAATTGCCAATTGCACACAGGAACACTCACTCTGCAGTTGGCTGCTTGGCCGGCGCGAAGTATATTCGACCGCATCCTGTAGTTTGCCTGTGGCGTGTACGAATCATCATTTTCAAATGCTCCGAGCGACGATTCCGAGCGACTTCGCTCCGAGGCATGGACACCAAGACTAGGTCAACGCACGCGAGCCGGGCGTGGGGAACCAACGACTGACCCCTGCTACTTCGACCAATCAAGCCACACGTCAAAGTCATCACCAAAAGCCCATGGTACGATACGAAGCTGAACCATTTGAAAGCTGTACGCTAAAGCAATGGCATTGGTATCCTGCATAAAGTGCCAACTCCAAATCGGCAGACTATCACCGTGCCCAACATGGTGCTCCGTGCGCGTATCAAACAATGACAAAGCTAAACGCGCCGAAGCGATAGAGGAACTCTTGCAACCAAATCCACCACACTGTGAGTCAATACGCAAAGGCAAATCGAACTAGGTTGAATCAATCAAGTCAAGTTGAAAGGCTGTCGTAAGCGCGAGATCATAGTCGTTGCTCCACACTTACAAGCCAGGAGGTGGGGGGACCGCTCCGTAGTTGGAGGGCGATGCAGCTGGTGGAGGCGGCGGCGGAGCAGAGCCATAGCCAGAAGCAGGTTCTGAAGGTGGTGGCGGAGGTGGTGCAGCCGCGCCAGCACCGGGAGCTGGAGACTGTGTCTGTCCATAACCAGTCTGAGCACCAGTCTGGCCGTAGTACGCAGCGTACTGCTGTTGTTGAAGTGCGAGATACGCTGCATACCCACCATACGCAGCATAAGGGTCAGCCTCTGGGTTTTGCTGGTAGTAAGCAATCCATGCTTGTGCAGCATTCGCGTCAAAGGCTTGTTGGTTGGTATCAGCAGTCGGTGTAGCAGCAGCAGGGGACATGATAGTCTCTTGTGCGCCGTAACCGTTGTGACCTCCCTGACTGCCGTAGCCACCACCACCACCACCATAACCCCCGCCCCCGCCGCTTCCTCCACCATATCCGTAGCTCTGGCTGCGATCGCGGTCACCACGGTCACCGTATCCGGGTCGTCCGCCACCATAGCCATCTCGGTCGCCGTAACGATTGGGTGGTGGGCGCTCCTTGTACGCGTGGTAATCCGATTTTACCTTCTCGAGGAGCTCTTCGCAAAGCTGCTTCGCTTGAGCTACACCTTCAGGACGAGGTCCACTAAAATCGGTCAGCAGTGCGAACAAAGTAATTGGCAGGAGTGTACGAACGCGATGTGAAGATACATGGGCTCGTCGCTCTCCTGGCCGCTGTTTGGTTCCATGAAACCAGAACCGCGACCCTTGATCTGGACCTTGCAGCTTGTCTCCTGCTGGATGAATTTGACGTTATCGCCACCGCGACCGACAACCTGTGCGCGCAAGTTAAAGCCGCTAATGGGCTCGAGACCTACAGAGATCTTCTCTTCGGGCCACTTGCGCTAGGAACAATTAGCAACAGGTTTGCTGAGTTGACAAGGATATCGTACTCGACCAAACTCATCGCGCTCAAAGTTCTCGGGCTCCCTACGACGGAAGCGACGTTCGTCTACCAGGTTAGGAAGGTCTTCTTTCATCATCTCCTCGATCATTTCTACAGCCTTGTCCAGGCCTTCTTTGGAGGTGCTAGTAATACGGAGGTACAGCGGCGGGTTCTGTTGCGAGATTAGCATAGCCCATGAATGTGTGACTTGCTCACGTACAGTAGCAGTTGCCATGTTCTTGTCAGGGTAGTATTCTCCGCGAGTGGTGACATCTTGCATGTATAAGCAGGTATTCTAAAGGGTTAATGATTGCAATCGGGATATGCGTACCGGCGCCAGTCTCGTCTTTGATCTAGATGGCACATGGAGGTTAGCATTTGATAGATGGGTGGGGCGCTAGAAGATCAAGTAAGCTCTGACTCTCATAGAGAGATGCGCAAACAGGGACCAACTTCAGCCCCGCAACACAGTCGCCAGAGGCGTAGCGCTGCAGAGCATGAAGAAGGCATGATCCTAGACGATCAGTGGACAGCAAAAACAGTTATTTACCCTCTTTTGTGTAGCTCCTTTGGTCAGTGTATAGCGGTTACGGAGATCATTGATCTCAATATCTTTGATGTAGTCACCATCCTGCTGGTACGTCTCGTTGTTTATGGCCGCTGCGGAGTTGGAGGCAGGCGACTTGGCGACTGGAGGAGTAGCGGCCTGGAGTCTGTCAGCGACGGCCGCATATGGATGGGTAGAGTGGGCATACAGAGCGAATAGGTGGCACGTCGACATGCTGGATGCCCTTCTTCGCCTGAATCTGCGCGTTGATCCTGGCAGCCGCAGCCGCCGCCCTCGCAGCAGCGTCGTTCTTGAAGTTGGACGATGCAGGGCTGTCTGTGCCTTCACGGGCGACAGGGCTACGGGCGCGATGCGACTCAGACTCCCTTCGCGACGGCGACCTAGAGCGACGGTCTGTATCGAAGCGCGAGCGTGCAGGGCGCTCGCCATCGTCGCTGTCGAAGCGCGATCGGGGACGGCGTTCGTCAGACATGGTGCAGTTGCTCGTAGTGATGGTCGACGTCTTGGTTGCGGTTGAGGCTCGCAGTTGTTGGTGTTGGAGATGAATCTTAGGCTCTGGCAGGAGCGACTCGCTTATTAGCGTGCCGCGGCTGGCCCTGCCTGTTCGCGCCTACTCCGACAATCGGCCGGGGATTCTATTTCACTTTCTGGGGCTGCCCTCCAACTTGAACATTAACACCACCTGTTCGTCATGGCTTCTCGGCGGGCAATGCTGCCTCTGCGCAGTCTGCTCAACAAACAATGCGCCGGCTCCTTCCGCCAGCAACAAAGAGCATCCAGCTCCTCGTCCACCCAGGCCTTGGCCTACAAGGCCCTTCACCGTCGCATCGCACCTCTCCCCACCGAGGACCGCCCTCCTGCCTGGTCAGCGCCGGCTGCCGTCAGCAACATCCTCTACGAAACCCCGCTCCCCTCCCAAGCTCCCCCAAAGAGTCACATCCTCAACTGTCTGGTACAAAACGAGCCCGGTGTGCTCTCCCGTGTCTCCGGTATCTTGGCCGCCCGTGGCTTCAACATCGACAGTCTGGTTGTCTGCAACACCGAGGTGGATGACCTCTCCCGCATGACAATTGTGCTGCAAGGACAAGATGGTGTTGTGGAGCAAGCCCGCCGCCAGCTCGAGGACCTGGTCCCAGTGTGGGCTGTGCTGGACTACACCCAATCGCCCCTCGTTCAGCGCGAACTTCTCCTTGCAAAGGTCTCTATTCTCGGCCCTGAATACTTCGAAGAGCTGCTTGCGCACCACCGAGAGATGGCTCAGGCGCCTGACATGGAGGGGTCATACGAACCAGACATGACAGATGAGGAGCGCAACGCAATGGCGCAGGAGGCTGCTCGCGAGTCTCTAAGGAAAGATTACCACCCGACAAACCTGCCCGTCAGCCAGGCGCTCAGACACAAGCACGAGCATCTGCGCGCCATCACCTTCATGACTCATCAATTCGGTGGAAAGGTGCTCGATATTAGCACAAACAACTGCATCGTAGAGGTATCGGCAAAGCCCACTAGGATTGATTCCTTCATGAAGTTGATTGCTCCTTTCGGAATCTTGGAATCTGCAAGGACCGGTAAGCAGGATCGGATATCCCGGTATAGCCAAATCGCTAATCGAGTACAGGACTCATGGCCCTACCGCGTTCCCCGCTCCACAACAGTGCTGAGGTCGAGGAGATGGAAGCACAGGACGTTGTTGATAATAGCCTACTCCCTCCAGGCTAAACATCTTGAGGCACGGGTGGTATCGAGTTTGTTCAGTGTCAACATATGCGGGCGTTTGATGTACCTGTATAGTATAGCGTTCAATGGAGGCGAAGCATGGCTCATTCGTTTGAGACCAATCACATTTCTCTTTGATGCAGTTTGAGATGTACTATGAGTGATGTATCTACATGCATATGATTTGCCCCAATTCCTACCCCACGAGCCCAGTCGCTGTGCGTGGAGTTGAAGCAAACCACGGCGTTTTGACAAGTACCGAAGGGCGAGCCGGTAGAGCCTCGTGGAAAGAAGCAGTTGTTGAGATGAGGCTAGAAACGTCTATTCATACCAGAGTATACATTGCCCAGCCGGGTCATACTTAGTCAAATATCGGACCGGCGCATCCTCCCATTCGGACCGACCCCATCAACCACTACAGTACTACCAAGCCTACATGTACCTCCATCTGCATCACCACCCGAAAAAATTGTTCGATAATCTACTTCTCACCAACACACATCCATCATTTTTCTAGTGGCCTCCATATCATGTCGCAAATCCCCGTTCCCACCGGTCTTCAAGAGGACTCGTTAGAGCACACAATCGAAATTCTCGCCAAGCAATTTAATGACGATGCGTTTCAACGCTATATTCTTCTAGATGAACTGCAAGGATCAGAAAAAACCGACATAGGAGTTGAGTTGAATCAAGAGGTTTTTGGATTTGTAGTACCGGATTTCCTCAAGGGCGGAGCAAGGATGATCACAATTCCTGGAAGTGGTGTTGCTAGTGTGTGGTGAGTAAACCTATTTGACCATGAAATGTCCCATGTTCAAGAGATGGATATTGAGAAGTCTTCCTATCCCGCGTCTAAGTCTGCTGATACCGGTTCAGGCAACTAGAGGAAATCACAGAAACATACACCCCGGAGCCGCACAACCCACCCGCTGTGACCGAACTTAACTCGCTGGCCCACCACGCAAGGCAGCGCGCTCTACCACCTCAAGCAACTCACGTGCTACATCTAGTCCTGGTAGCAAATGACCGCAGTCATCCTTCCGCTACCACGCCGGCCAAAGTGAGTGATCTCATTCGTCCGGTACTTGACATGGCAAAGGAAAAGGGTTGGCCAGTGGTCTTGGAGTCTACATCACCCAGGAGTAGGGACGTGTATGCGCATTTAGGGTTCCAGATATTGGAGGAGATTACAGTGGGAAAGGGAAAGGTTGATGGAGAGGGAAGAGGGAAGGATGGCGGTGAGGGAGTTTTGCTGTGGGCTATGATGAAGTGTTAAGGGGTGATGTATGTACCTGAAACTCTCCTCGGTATGTGCAGCACTAATATTGCACATTTACTACGCTCCGCTTGTAGATCGATCGGGTGGCTATGGAGTTACTGCGGTATCAGCGGGTCTTGCTCAGTGAAAGGACCCGTAGGAATCGTATCGAGGTATAAGCTGTTGTATCAGCATTAGTGATACGCTTGGGAGATGCCTCGACCGTTTCTCCACTTACACAAATCAACCGTAGAGCGATTGATAAGTCCTCCATATGAAGCAGGCAAGCAAGCAAGCGACGCATCTGCCCCACAAACCTCAATCTTGAGTCAAAATCAGAAAGCGCATCAACTTACCACCGGCAGTATGACATCCCAGCTTGCCACAGTTTTCCGGACTTACATGCTACGTTCAGGTGCCGAAAACCACCCCGATCACCCACGTGGGCAGCATACGCGCAGTGAGTGGCAGAAAGCCTTCCTGGTGTTCCAGACGTCTGGGCCTGGAGGCTGCAAGCGCCATGTCATAGGATCGTCCTAGTGAATCCTACATATGCAAGACCCTTGTTCGTTATAGCGGGACCGATATAGGCAGGTGAGCACACGACCTCTCACTATGCCACCATGCAGGGCTGGCATCATAGGAGACGCGGAGGCACGCATACAGACATTGAGACAAGCAACGCCAACGTGGCTTCCAAGTGCCGTAACCCGTGGAACTCGGCTATGCATATTGATCCTTTGATAAAGACAGCTTGTCGGAGGTTTCCGATTGAAAGCGTACATCATACATCGTACATGCATCCGATTCAACATGCACTACATCCGTCTCTTCGTTACGAGTGATGTGAAAAGGTGCAGTTAGTGATATAAAATTAGCGGCTACCTTCATCCTACATCCCGCATCCATCATGTTTGACTCACCGGTGTCTGTCTTTTAGGAAGTCCAGAGTCGTGTGGCTCCACGGAGTCGCTCAATTCGAACAGCGCTACCGCGGTTCCACGGGCTTGCGGGCCATGGGCTATGGGCATGGTGAAGGTCCACTTTGGCAATGGGTCGAAGTCCCTGCGACGGGTGGCCGGCGGCCGCAGTTGCTATCATGTAGAGAACAAGTACAAAGGTTCTCGCTATTGTTTCTCGACTATCAAGTTAGGTAGGGTCGGCATTTCGGTGTTACTATGCCGAGGAGATCGGTTAACACAAAACATTTCTTCTCTGCATCCAGTGGCAGTCTTCATATGTAACACGCATTATGACCTTGTCTTCGGGTGGCATGTTGTCCCACAACCCGCCCCGCGCAGGTGGGGATGCTTTATGTCGATGCAAGCTTTTCGTCTCCAATTTTACTCCAGATACCCTTCTCCACCAATCAGTATAGATCAATGACATTCTGACATCCCTCCTTCTGGTAACACTTCCTGCTGTTTGAGGATCTAGACAGACCGCATCTGGAAGCCACACTTGAGGCTTTGCTTTGAGACATGGAGCGCTGTTACGATCACGCCACGACTGCCGATTGCCGCCTTGGACTCGAGATCGTAATGCTTCTTCCCTAACGCGCAAGCGTGTCTTGGTCAATGCCGGGTCGTTATCTGACGTACGGGAAATTCACATGCTTCCTAAGGTGGAGACATGAGACAATGAGCGTGTCCGGCTGCTGGCTGTAGTCGATCATACTCATTGTCGATGTTGTGCTTCAGGCGTCCAAGCGAGGAAAAAAAATCCCAGGATATCGAGGCTCGTTGTCCACGAAGCACATGGTTCCCTCTTCGTCATACGATAGCCGGTGTCTGAATGTTTAGTGGGCCATCTGGGATCCATGGCGGATATGGGTTGTGGGTAACGGTAACGATGATCCCTGCGCACGAACGTCCTGAATAGGATGACGCCGATGCAGGTTCCTTGGTAGCGTGAATCGCAGCCAGTTCTCTGCTATCGAACTCACAATCGGGCAGGAGTACTTACCTGGGTATATCCTTCCACCAGCGCCATGTCGCTCGGCCTCTTTCTCATCACTTTTTGGCATTGTTCTTGTATCTAAGTTTCCATATATCCCGGTTAGCAGCGCATCATCAGCCCAAGATCTTGGCACAACTGCGGCGCTATTATTACCCAGATATCTTGATCCAATTGAGGGAAACGGTAAGCAGTCCGTCTGGCGCAATGTGCCGGCAATTCAACGGTGCAACGGTGCAATCGTTTTGCTATGCGAACGTGCGGTCGAAGGCCCATATATTGCACGGCCACGCTATCATGAAGGCTTCTTATCTGACAGTGAATAGACCCACTCGCTCGCTTCCAAGGTTCCTGTGACGCAACCCAACAACGCGCTCCGCCCGATCCTCGCTCAACCGCTTTCACTGCTCAACCTGTTGGCATGAAGTACGGCGACACATTGAGACAGCGGTCCATACCAGAATGGGGCCATTGTGAGTACTACGGCTATGTCCTACTACGCGACGCGGAGCGCTCTCGGCTAACACATGTGCGCTTGCAGA